ACCTAAAATTAATAACTATATTTACGTATTGAAACAAATTATGCTGATAAAATAATACATTGACCAACAACGATTTATAAGTATAATGAAAATTATTTCTTGAACAGAGCATTAGATATTTCAAAAGAACAATGGTCTTTCTTAGTAAATCATCGATCAATATACAATAAGTACAGCTGTTTTAAAGAAACAATGCAGTTCTTTCTTCAACTTGTTACCTGCTCGTTCACATTCCAACAAAATTTTTGGTTTTTCAAATGATGTGTTTAGAGGAAGAGCTATGTCAGCGATTTTTACAAAACTATGATAGTAAGAGCACACTCCAAAAACAAGATTGAAAATATAGTTAACAACGGTATGCTATGAACAAATTGATTTAGGAAGAGTTGATAAGTTGGTGTTTTATAAGAAATCACTAGAAACATGAAAGACAACTGCTGAGCGATCCTCACTTGCTTATTGTGACTTCACATTTATTGTTAATTTACACTTTGATTTTTGGTTATTCCAACTATTTGTGAATGATGTTTCCCTCTTATTCAGCAAAGCACAGTGGCAAAATTAACAAATCTTTGCCATAATCCTCTTGGGTCAACGTTTTTTGATGCTTCTTCGTGCAGGCTGTTTATAGAACTAATACTGATATCTTCGAAGTGACAAAGTCTCTTCAATGAACTTTTATTTCAGGCTTCCGTGTGGCGATAATTTTCTTACTCCTTTTTATTGGGCCCCAAATTCTGCTTGAAATCCTGAAAGAAAAAAAAAACTTCATGTCGTTTTTGCTCTCTGGTCTTCCAGATTAAGGAAATTCACCCACACTTCAATGTTGCATGATCTGTCCAAGATGTAAACCTTTGGCCTTATAGATAATGATGGAAATGATTTTTGGCTCGAACAACATTTAGTATCTCCTTTTCAATTTGTACAGAACCTCCTTTCGACAGCATCTTTTTTTTTCCCCTTGCTATAGTAAGTGACCACATTCTTTTTGTATGTTGTACGTGAAATAACACTGCCTCTGGTACATATTCACTAGCATGTCTATCTGAAATTTGAGAATTTGGCATTTTAATGCAAGAGTAGAGGTGAGTCGCCATTTCAGGAATACTATATTAACATCATGCATCTTCTAGATGCAACTATGGAAATGTTGTATTACTGGATAGTGTAAATACCAAAAAGAGTGAAGTAAAAGACAAAGATGACCAACCTAACGTCTAGAGAATAATCCAAGACGTGCCATTCACCAGTGAGGAAGAACTTATATGGTTCAACACTCAAATAAAAGATGTAGATGCTCAGAAACAGCACTGATGTCATATACGACTTCACCCAGAACGTACTTAAACCAGTTAGAGATAAAATGAAGTCACTTTGATGCTGATATGACTGGATTCCATCAAGGTAACATGGTATGGCTGTACAATCTCCGCCACAAAAAGGGGGGGGGGGGAATTCCAAAGTTAAGCAGGTGTTGGGAAAGGCCATACGTTGTACTGAAAAGAATCACTGATGTGGTTTACAGAATCCAGAGACAAGTTACACAAGCCAAACATCCATTACGATCATCTTTAGAAGCATGTCTGTGACAGAACAGCCAGATGGGTGACTCCGAGAAGAGTTTATTAGCAGAAACCAAATCTTCCGAGGAGCCCAATTGACAGGAATGCATGTGACGACAAGAAGTCAATACTATCTGTATATCATAATCCTCATAAAAAGAAAACTAAAGAATCAGTGAATGGACAGTTTAAGTTTTATTTTTACATTAGGACTCTTTAAGGGACTTGATAGTCCCGGAATGTAGTAGTTTTGTAAGCTATATTTTTAGTGTTATAATTTAGTTATTTGCTAGTGGAATCTGCCAATCATGATAATGATGGATTAATAGGGAATATCTGCATGATACTATACAAGGTTACATTTGGAATAAATATGAATAATCAATCAACGAGTACTTAAAGAATAATGAATGTGAATTCTGTGAAGTATTCAGCAAGTTATCGCATCTATTCTGCAATCCTCTAACTCAGAGAATAACGCGTTTCATTACCAGACCGAAATAGGTTAGGTGTACTTACTATAATCTCACTTAGTGTTGAAAATTAAAACTTTGTTCGTGAACTTAGGCCTACAACCTCTGTCAAAGTGAAAGAAGCCTGTAGCAAAGGTTAAAGAAAAAACAACAACTAAGTTTTTTTATAGTTATTTATATCAAATATTATAGAAAACCCTTTCAATGATATAACACGTCACAACAATGTGAATCATGAACATCTTTACTAAAAACAGTGTTAATAACTAGATTCTTAATGCCTAATCACAAATGAGTGACGGTCTTTTTTTTTCTCTCTCTCTTTCTTTAAAGAAAATTTGAGGTAGAAGCGCGAATTATCTCGCAAGTTGTTGTATTAGGTTTTGACACACACAAAAAATAAATGTGTGTATAGTGGAATGATGTCCTGAAACTAAAATAATAACGGAAATACATTTCATGAAATTATCTACGTGGGCATACACAATATCCATTTCTTAAAGTAACTTTTCATGACCAAAGATAACCTCTCATTAACCATGAATTTACATAACTTCCGCCCAAGGACGGGTACTCCAGCTGGTAATAAATAGTATAAAAACACGCGCAGGACTCATCGTGTTCCAGTCTGAAACACACATTCTTACAAACGAGTTTAATCTGAAATTATATTGAAGTCTAAGCTACAAAATTAAGTGGATTGGACTTTTAACCTAACGTTAATTTACTTGAATTTCTGCAACTACAAATTATACAGTTTCTAGCTTTGCGTAAAAAAGTTAACCTAAGTTCAACGCAGCTCTATTTAACCTTCAGATCGAAGTTTCAGTTTGTGTTAAACATAATTCCAAGTTAAACTATTACCTATATTTTTACAGATAGTGTCAAAAGTTCCACTTAAAATTATGACAAGTGACTAACGTTTCAATTATGTTCGCACCAAATTCTTCAAATACACAAGTAAGCCAATACCTGTAATGGTAGATACATTAAACAAAAAGTGTTATACCAATGTTGGAAAAATTATCTTGGTTTAATTGCGCAAAAAGGAATGTCAAGTTCAATTCATTTAACGAAATCGTCTCATTTATTCAACTTCTCCCTACAGAAAATACTCATGTTCAGGAACGAGATAGAACCGAAAATATCACCAAAGGAATTAGTTTTCATACACAAGCCTTGCTTAAAATTCCAAACTTCAGCCATTGGTTGTCACAGTGTCACAAAAATTGAGAAACACACACACACACACACACACATATCATACGCTAAAAGCCTATCGCAGGCCTGGGTTAAGGTTCAGTAAGAGTTCTAGACCACCGCCATCCCTATGTATGTAGCTTAAACTAGTATATAAACTTCAGCCGCATAGACCTAGGCACTAACAACATCTTTTAAAGAAGTAACTGCGACAGGAAATCCACACAAATCTTTAACAACCCCCCCCCCCACACACACACACACACA